TATAAGGAGTTTGATGCACAATTTACTTATATATGGATGCTATATCCAAAAATGAACCGATTTCAACGAAACTTGTCACAGTTTAGGTTATACTGATTACAGTACGTTTTGTTCCTATCAGCCATATATTGGTTCCTTGGTGCGTCAATTACTGAAAATCATTCTATAATATAAGGAGCTATATCTAAATCTCAACCGATTTTCACTAAACTTGGCACACATCATTCTGGATTAAATTCAAAGCGCTATGCAACATAAGAACTTGGTACCTTATTTAGATTAAATCGGACGAATATATATATATATATATATATATCTGAATCGATTTTTACGAAACTCAGCACACATCATTCCACCATCAATTCAGTACGTTATGCCAAATTTTGTGCAAATCGAAAGATACATGTGGTGCACCATTTACATTAAATCGGACGAAAATATATATTGGAGCTATATCTAAGTATTGACCGATTTTCACGAAACTTGAAAATCGGACGAATATATATATATATATGTATATCTAGATCTGAATCGATTTTCATGAAACTCAGCACACATCATTCCAGCATTAATTCAGTACGTTATGCCAAATTTCGTGCAAATCGTAAGATATATAGGGACTTTGGTGAACCATTTACATGAAATCGGACGAAACTATATATAGGAGCTATATCTTAATCTGGACCGATTTTCACGAAATTTGGCAGACATCACTCTAGGCTCACTTCAGTACGTTATGTCAAATTCCATGCCAATCGAAAGATATAGGACTTTGGTGCACCATTTACATGAAATCGGACAAAACTATATATGGGAGCTATATCTAAATCTGGACCAATTTTCTCGAAACTTGGCAGATATCACTCTAGGCTCAATTCAGTACGTTATGCCAAATTTCGTGCAAATCGAAAGATATATAGGGACTTTGGTGCACCATTTACATTAAATCGGACGAAAATATATATTGGAGCTATATCTAAGTCTTGACCGATTTTCACGAAACTTGGCACACATCATTCTGGATTAAATTCAAAATGCTATGCAACATAAGAACTTGGTACATTATTTAGATTAAATCGGACGAAAATATATATATCTAGATCTGAATCGATTTTCACGAAACTCAGCACAAATCATTGCAGCATCAATTCAGTACGTTATGCCAAATTTCGTGCAAATCGAAAGATATATAGCGACTTTGGTGCACCATTTACATGAAATCGGACGAAACTATATATGGGAGCTATATCTAAATTTGGGCCGATTTTCACGAAACATACCAGACATCATTCTAGACTCAATTCAGTACGTTATGGCAAATTTCGTGCAAGTCGAAAGATATATAGGGATTTTGGAGCACCATTTACATGAATTTGGACTAAACTATATATGGGAGCTATATCTAAATCTGGACCGATTTTTACGAAATTTGGCAGACATCACTCTAGGCTCAATTCAGTACGTTATGTCAAATTTCGTGCAAATCGAAAGATATATAGGGACTTTGTGCACCATTTGCATGAAATCGGACGAAACTATATATGGCACAGCTCATTTGTTTGGCCCAAGGACGAACAGAGATGGCCTGTCAGAAACAGTGACGTAAATGACATACATTTCCGACGTATAATACATACGTCAGAAACGTCGGAAACCTACCCAAATCCATTAGGTTTTTGACAAAATAGCTATTTCCTTTAATCAATTTGGAAATTACGCATGCTTTACTCAAATCCATAAAAAATTTGAAAATTTTCTTCTCAAAAAAATTTAGAAATTTTTATCAGTTCTAGCTAGGAATAGTCAGATATATGTAAAAATAATATATATTCTTGAAAATAACCTTATTTGCTGATAATATTGAAATAAACGACGTTTACTACATTTATTACATTTTATACAGGTATATGACGTTTTCGACGTTTACACCTTTTTGACGGTCGAAAACCTAAAAATTCGTCACACGGACCATCTCTGAGGACGAACCCTATTGAAATTGGGAAAAATCGGTCCAGATTTAGATATAGCTCCCACATATACATTTCACCGATTTAATGTAAAATACATTTGCACGAAATTTGGTACAGCCTAATCATTTAGGTCTAGAATGATGTCTGCCAAGTTTCGTGAAAATCGGTCCAGATTTAGATATAGCTCCCATATATGCATATTCTCAAAAGGAACCATGGGTCTATCTCGTTTCCTTTTGCCTGTTACAAACATATGCACAAAGACATAATACCCTGTACCACAGTGTGGTGAAGGGTATAAAAACCGCACTATAGTCCAATTTTTAATAAATTACGGCGCTATCTTTAGATGGGTACAAATGTACCACGGTTATTGATCTACGTATACTTTTCTTGAAATTGGACTTTTATTTTTCAGAAAAAATGTACTGTATCTACCGAATGCAAGGATATAGCGATGCCAAATTTTGTTCGTATCCTATTTAGGATAGTTGTATTGAATCTGTGAATAGTAAATTGTTTTATGATTACGGGGAAAAAAAATCGGACCATAAAGGGTTATGTAGATACATCACACATTCTGTTGGTCACATTTATGTTCGAATTTGGATGAAATTTGGCTCATGTCACATATTTGGCCCAAGTACGAACCCTATTGAAATTGGAGAATATCGGTTCAGATTTACATATATCTACCATATATAGTTTCCTCCGATTTTATGTAAATGATACACCATACTGTCAATGTTTGTTCGATTGAGACATCATTTTGAACAGAGTACTGATTTGGGTCTAGATGATATATGCCAAGTTCTGTTGAAATCGGTTCAGATTTACATATAGCTCCCATATATAGTTTCGTCCGATTTTATGTAAATGGAACACGATACTGCCAATATTTGTCCGACTGAGACAACATTTTGCACAGAGTACTGAATTAAGTCTAGATTGGTGTATGTAAATCTGAACCGATTGTTGGAATCGGTTCAGATTTAGATGTCAGATTGAGACATATTTTTGCATACCGTATTTAAGTTACTACAGGTTGACATCCGTGAAGTTTTGTCGAAATAGGTTGAGATTTAGATATAGCTCCCATGTATACTTTCGTCCGATTTTATGTAAATAGCGCAGCGTGTGTGAATGAAGACGTTCCAGGGTTAGATATATATATATATATATATATTCATCCGATTCCATCAAAATGATGTGCCAAATAACTAAAGTTTGTCCGCATAGGACAAATGAGTGCACAGCGTACCAAATCGAACCTAGAATAACGTGTATTGGATTTTGTGTCGGGATACATTTCGGATAGCACACTGTGTTGCAGCATAACAAGTGGTAGATGTCACGGGCATCTCTTGTATTTACCCAAAGTGGTGAAGGGTAGCACATAGTCGGCCTGTCCGACTGTTGAGCTTTGTTTCTTATACAACCCATAAAATAAAAAGAAAATCCATTAAATTTTTTCAAACACATTCTGCAGATTATTGCTCTACAAAATTGCATAGATTTTATTTGTTTGATTTTTATGTTTTCACATATTTTTTTGTATTTTTTTTCTTTTATAAATTAATTAAAAAACACTTACAGCTAATACGTTATACATTAATAATTATTATTATATTGTTTTGAATATTAAATAATAATTATAATAATAATAAAAAATAGGCATTATAAAACTACAAACTCTTGAAGATAGTATCTATTTTCAATGAATACCAATTTAGGAATTGCAAAATAGCCTAACTAACATTCTTTGTTTTGTTGTTGTGTTTAAGAATAATGAGAACAATAAGCATTCCAAATTGTTTTGGAACATTTTTTTTATTTTTGATAAATAATTTTGGCGAACATTGTTATTTTGTAGATCAATATTAATTAAGAACAATTTGTTTTTGTTTTTTGACATGGGGTTTGTTTTTTAGTGGGGTATGGGGTTAAGAAGAATACAATTTATTTTTGTTTTTCTGCAAATTTGCCAGCAACGCAGTTTTTTTTTATCTTTCATATATCATCTAATGTATTTGTTATGAATGTTTTTGTTGTTGTTGTTATCTTAATTTGTTTGTTTTTTAGTTTATTAGTACTTAACTACTAAAAAACTTAATCAGTATCACAATTTTCATGAGTGTTTTTTTCATTCCCTTTGCTTTTAGATCATATTTTTTGTGGGCTGTTGTTGGAAAATGTGTTGTTGTTGCTGTATCTTTAATGCTCACTGTGTGTAGGAAGGCCCGGTTGAAGGGAGGTGATTAGGGAAACTTATGGGTTTTCTTTTGCCGGTTATGTTGTATGCATGTATGTATTGCTATGTACGTGTGTGTGTGTGAGCATGCCCCACAAAATCGTGGCAATTAAAGAACAGAAATCACCTCACAAAAAAGAAATGTTTTTTTCTAGTTGTGTGTGGCTGACATTACGTCAGTCTGTGAGTTTGCCCGTCATTGCGTCCATATGTTTCTGTTTTTTTGTAGTTCTGTCGGTCAATGGGCACGTACACAAAATTGTGTTTTTTCTTTTTGTAAAAAACATGTTTTTTCTTTAATTTTTTTTTTGTTTTCTTTTTCCTTAAATAAATAGAAAATCATAAACATAAAATATACATTATTTTAGAATTTATGCTTCTACGATTACAACAGTGGTGAGTATAGGTGGGATGATGAATTCAAAATACTTTTTGTTTTTTTTTTTTTTCAATATTTGTTTAACAAAACAATTAAATTACGTATGTATGTATTTATGCATAATTTGCTGGCGCCCATTTAATGAGCTTTGCCATCAAAACGCCATGCAGCAGGATATCATCAGGTGTCCTGGCATGGGGTTTACAATACTTTATGCCTCCAAAAATATAGAAGCTTTCGATCTATCTATCAGTGGGCAAATAATTGTCAATAAGATACCAAGATCTTATGTTACCCCCTCTTCTCATTCTCACTCATTCTCGATATTTCTCTCTCTCTCTTTCTTGCTGCTTACATCACTATGGCTGTCTCGGGACATGCATGCAGCAGGCCAGCAAACTCAATTGCTGTCGTGCGAATACAATTTACGCTTAACAATGCTGTAATCGGGACTAATTGTTATGGTGCGCGACAGGCCCTTGATAAATTGCGGCAGTAAAGCGGTCCAGCCCCTTTTGTCCTGACGCAAGGTTAGATAAACCTCAAAGGTGGATACCATTTCCGGGTCCAATTTTAGTTTTGCTATGCGTTTGAGATTGTTAGCCTCCTCTTCGTATTCAACGAAAACGGTACAGCCACGAATGCCGCATGGTTCACGTTCCGATACCCGTACAATATCGCTGGCAATGCGTTGGGTGAGATCTGTGGGTAATGAGACTTCGGTGCAGGTGAGGTTACGCGTCTTGGCGGCGCGTAATTCGGTGAGTAGGCGCTGTGAAAGTTCATTCACTGCGGCCGCATCAATGCAACTATCACAGTCGAATTGCTCCTCCTCCTCCGTTTGTAGTGTGTGGTGTAGATGATGATGATGGTGATGTGATGAATGTTGGTGTTGTTGTTGTTGCTCTTCCTGTGCGTTATTGCTTAAAGATCTTGACCAATCTAAAAATAAACAGAAAGAGAAAAAATCAATTAAGAGGAAATTCAACTAATTGAGCTGTATATGTTAATTTAAAAAGATAAATGGGTTTTGGGGTAATTTTTAGAAAAGAAAAACAAAACTAAACATATGGGCTAGAAACCATTAATAGAACGATATTGGAAAGATCATAAAGTTACTCAAAATATGTAAAATAAATTGAAAGTGGAATTACAAAATAAAGCAATACAAGGTAAGTTTCACTATTTAGAAGAAATGTTGGAGTAAGTTTATTTTTTTGTAGACAAGTTCGCAACATAAATACATGAACAAACCTCGTACATATTCTCAAAAAATACTACAATTTCTATAAAATGAACAACTTTATTGATCACTCCATTTTCGAACTCTACCACCTACACAAAAATCTCATTTTACGAGAATCTGTTTTCTTTTTTGTTTGTTTGGAAATATCTAGACATGACTTAAGTCGTTAAACATAGTAGACATAGATATTTTGTTTGTTTACAATCTAAATAAAATACGATATATAAAAAAATCTTGGAAATAAGCCAAGTGGAACAAATACATATGCATTTCTATATCCATATAGAAATAATATAATAAAATATATAATTTATGTAGTTGTCACACTTAATAGAAGTGTGAAGTTGGTTTGGCTTTTAACAGATAAACAAAAAGTTGTTTTCTTCGAGGTGTTGTTGTTGTTAAGCATTTTTTTAGATATTATTTGAATTATGGGTTAAAGCTTAAAAATAACCAAAAAAAAAAAACAATATTCAAAACAACAAATGTTTATTGTCAAAAATAAAAAAAAAATTATATGATATTCAAATTGCTGCCATTAAAAAATAAAAATGCCTAAAAATGTTTACCATTTTGTACTTCGAAACTTCCAAAACATTTGAAACAAACAAAAAATGGGGGTCAAACTTGAGTTTCTCCATTTTTTTTGGTTTTTATAATTAATTCGTTTACTTTTGTTTTGTTTTGCTAATGTCGTTCAAAACTTAAAAAAGTATTTTTATGATCCACACCATTTTTAAATAATGTGTGGTAGCTATCTAGAATCTATTTTAAGAATTATAAAGATTTCAAAAATTAATTATAAACTATGATTGATTATTTGTTTGGACAGAAAACAAACCAAAATTATTGTATTTTCAAATTGGGTTCTTTACAATGTGAATTTTGTTATTAAACAAAAAAACAAAAACAAAATTTAATTAGTGTAAATTTTTGAGACAAAACAATATCAAATGTTATTAATTTATCATTGTGATTAATTATTTTTTTTTTTTTTTTTTTTTTTTTTTGTAGAAACCAACAACAAATATTCGATATGAAAATAGGTTGATTGGCTTATTTGGGGGACGTGTGAAAATATTGTTTTTTATTTTTTTCATACATAAGTTTATCCAGAATTTAATGGAAAATCATTCACAGGTTTCATGTAGATTTTTTGTTTCGATAAAATCAATAATTTTCAGCTGCAATTGGAAACCATAATTTTATAGAAACAAAAATTGTCTGTTAAAACTTTTAGAATTTGAACAAAATCCCTTTCAGAAAACTTGGTTCGTCTGTAACCATTTTGATCTAATCTTAGAACATCGTGAATTTCCTCCCTTCGAAGGTTCGAAATATCCGTCAAATATTTCTGGTATCTCCTCTACGAAATGATCAACCATTTAATTAATTTTCAATATCATACAAAGTATCCAATCAAATAGGTAGTATTCGATTTGACCTAAACTTTGCAGAGCCCAATATTTGTCTAAATCTATACTCTTTTTGGTAAATTATTAACAACAATCATGTACAACTCATATGACGCGCATCTAGTATCCGATTTGACTCTATATCAATTTACGCATGTCTTTCTGTCTCTTGAAATCACTATAGAGATCACAATATTTAAGATAGAGCTCTGAAATTTTACATAAATATTGCTAGTACTCCTAGAATGTTTGGTATTGTAAGTGGCAACGGTATCCCCAATATTCGGTATTTTGGGGGTTTTGGACGCCTTTTCCAACCGGCAGTTATTTATTATTTTGGGTTCTCATTGATAACATATAAACGTACCAAAAAGTATGTATTAATATTTACCCAAGTTTCAGGGTAGCCTCAAATAACGGCACTCCCCAATACTCGAAATTTTGGACATTTTGGACAGGCTTTCCAACAGAATGGGCTATAATGTATCTGTACCAATAATTACTAATATTGACCCAAGTTTTAGTGTAGCCTTCATATAACGGAATCCCCCACTATTCGGTATTTTCCAACCGAACTGACTGTTATTTGGTATTTTAGGTTCTCATTTAATAAATTTTGGTGAGGTTTTCTAACCGAATTGGCTGTAATTTGGTATATTGTATTCTCATTGGCTGTCAAATCTCACTAACAAAAAATATTAATATTGATCTCTGTTTTATTATAGCCCCACATAACAGTAAAATTATTTATTTTATTTTTTTTTAAGAATCCTCTACGAAATATCAGATATTTATTTATAGTACCGTTGGATTTTAATAATTTATTATTTTTTTAATATTAATTTTTTAAATATCACATCTTCTAAAATATTTATTTACAATTAGAATCTAAAAATATATATATTTTTCAAACTGATTAATAATATATGTTGTTAGGCTAGGGATAATACACATTGATACATAGCACTATAACAACAGAATAATCTTAAAATGTTAAAAAAAATATGTCAAGGTCTTTATTTGAATGTATTTTAATAAACAAATGTTTAATTGTACGCTGCTCTGATAACACGTGCTTTCAAAACATCACGTACTATGTATGTTTAAATGAACAAAAATAATAGGAACTAAAGATACAAATTTTGAACTATATGAATACAAATATCGATGAAAACTCTCATGTCTAAAATTCAAAGAAACTTTTACAATACTTACTTCGTATTCTAGTAGCTGTAATATCACTGTAATGCTGATCGGCAAATTGATTCTGCACTGTTAGCACTTCCATGTTCTGTTGTTGATTCGCGTGATGACTTATATTAAAATTGGTTATGTTGAAAATGATGGAACGTTGAGACGATCACGTCGCACCGGGGACAACGATTTGTTTATATAGTAGTAAGGTGGTATGGTTATATATAAGATATTTTGTTCACAATCACAGATATGCGCACGCGTAGTTATCACACAAAGCTTGGCTTTGATTGCAGTTAGGTTCTTAATTTTTTTTTATTTAATTAATTACTAATTTGATCATATTAGAGGCATACATATATACATTTGCTGTAATGTATTTTGTTTGAACTTGTTTTTCTTTTTTTATTAGATGCATGCGAGTTATTGTATTAAATACAATTTAATTAATGGCCACTTTATTCATTAAAATTTTATTGCTACAATTTGTTATTTTATGCATGTCAACATCAACAAAAAATGAGTATCTATTTTTTGTTGTTGTATGTAGTTAGTTAGGGTCTATCGGCTAGTTGAACTTTGAATTATTTTTTATTATATTTTTTTTTCTGTTTCTTTGTAATATATTTTATTGGACACGCTCTCTGATATTCTGTGATTTCACTTTAGTTCATTTCTAATCAAAACAATTCTAAAGAAATGTTCTCATAATAGATTGGAAACACTACGTAAAAATTGGTTCTACTTTCGTTGGGATTGTAGGAGATAGTTTGTTTTCCGTTTTGAGTTTCTTATCTCAGTGTCTTTCCGTATCACTATGAATATCAGCAGTGTTTCAAAGCAACTAACTGGCAAACAGCTGTGTGCTGAGACTTTTATACTCGTTGGCCAGCAAACAAAAACAACATCAATTGGCTGTGTGTAGCTGTGTGCGTACATTTGTGGCGTACGCGACAACAAACCGACCGAATGGCAGAAGAGTGTCAGTAGTGGCTATGGTGCGAGTATAGAGAAATTTATAGAGCCCATATGTACTCGCGTGCGTACGGTCGTTCTGTCTCTTGTATTTGTGTGTAGCGCTCCACACAGAGAAACCAACAAGAAACGCCAGATAAAACAACAACAAACACATCGTTAATTGTGGAGCTCCTACTGGGTAGGGTTGTTAAATATCAGCAGTTGTTAAGAAATATGGGATGAGCTTTTTTATACCCTTTTGTTTTCTGATTACAATGTATTTCTCCCGAGATTCGAGGTTCCAAATTTCCAAAAATACCCCAATATAGACTATTTGTATACCCTCCACCATCAAAATATTCGTTTCCGATCCTATAAAGTATATATATTCTATCTTCTGAAGGAATTGAGATAGGAATCTGAAATTTTGCATTGGGTTGTCTACGGGCAGGTCAAGTTTGAGATGGATATATCGATCCACGTTTAGGCATAGCTCCCATATAAGGGTATCCCACAATTTTCGGTATTTTGGGGTTCTTGAGCGAGTTTTTCGACCGAATTCGCTGAAATTTGGTACATTGGGTTCCTATTGGGTACTAAATGTCTCCACAAACAATTAAAAATATAGGTCCACTTTTTCTCGTAGTCCTCATGTAACGTTACCCCCTAATTTTCAGTATTTTGGGGGTTTTGATCGCATTTTTCCACCGAATTGGCTGTAATGTTGTACTTTGAGTTCTTAATAGGTTCCAAATCTCTCCACAAAAAATTATGAATTATAGGTCCATTTTTTCGGGTAGCCCCCATATAAGGGTACCCCGAATTTTCGGAATTTTTGAGTTCTTGAGCGCGTTTTTCAACCGAATTCGCTCCAATGTGGTATTTTGTAGTCGTGGTATTTTCTGAAATGGATTTGGTCCAAAGAAACATTGCGTCTAGAACCAATATTTCGATGAGGCACATTTTCACTGCATCAAAGTGTATACACCCTCATTAGCCATAAGGCTGAGGGTATAAATATCCATTAAAAAGTGCTGAAATTTGTATTTGGTGTACATTATGGTT